CTCCTGATTCTGGTTTAAGGACTGTCCTTGAAGACCTACAAAAAGGTCTTCAGAGTGGTTCTGCGCCGATCCACAACTCTCTTCATGTGTGCAGAGAGTTCATAATGGAAGGTTCTTTTAGAGCTTTTCGACGTACACGCTTCAACCCCCTTCATCAACTGACAGTAACATTTGTGGATGTCGAGGGAGAAAGCGAGGGGGCTGTAGATGATGGTGGTCCCAGCCGCGAGTTCTTGCGGCTCCTTGTAGCAGCGCTGCGAGACAGCCGATACTTCGAAGGGCCTGAGGACAGGAAAAATCTTTCCCTTGTATCCCGGGGTATGTAACCATGTATTGAAAAGACTAAATGTTTAAACATGTAGTTATTACATGAAATAGAAACCATTATTTCCTTTCTTCAGTGAGCATCACTTCTGTAATTGGAGGTTATTATTATTAATTTTGTCTTTATGTTGCAGGTCTACAGTTTGGGGATTATAAAATAATTGGGCAAATGCTGTCCTTGGCCCTTCTCCAAGGAGGAGTACAGCCCTCTTTTTTCTCGACAAGACTGTATTCCCTGTTGTGTGGGCAACAAACAGGCCCAGTGTCATTGGAAGAAGTTGGTGACTGGGAACTGCGCCAGCACCTTGAGAAAGTAGGTAGCACAATTATTTTTCTGGATATTATTTTGTCAAACATGCTCACATATTATTGTTATCATTGTCACAGATCAAAGCTGCAGAAAACTTGGAGGAAGCCCAGCAGGCTGTTCAGGAAGCCTCGCCATTACTGTGTCCCCTGGGCTGTGCAGGGTTTCTTCCTGACATGGAGAGCCAGCATACTTTTGTAGAGCAGGCAGCGAGGGCCCATGTTGAAGGTCGCATTAAACCTGCACTGGACCAGTAAGTTAAATCATATTTACTGATTGTAGCAGGTACACTGTTAACAAAAAAATGGCTCGTTCTTCAATATGGTTTGCCAAGAGTTCACGGGTGTTATTTTGGTAGATGTTTACATTATATCTTCAGCTGTTGCTGACAGTGCATGTGATGCAAACAGTTACACTTATGGTAAGATCCAGAAACAACACCCCATTTTTTTGTGGCAATATCTGATCATTTTAATCATGCTTCGCTCTCTTCAACACCAACAATGTTTCAGTGGTTGTCAGCAGAGAAAACAAGACATTGGATTCGTCTCAAAGACCTGATTTGTGTAAATGACATCACAACCCTGTTCCTCTGTGCTCAGAATATAAACCCCTTGTGCAGAGACTATCTGCCATTAAAAGGACTTTTAGGAAATAGTCACAGGAAATCAAAGAAGACCTAAAGAAGGGGTCCCCAAACTACGGTCCTCGGGCCGGAAGCGGGCCGCCTCCACATTTGGTCCGGCCCTTGAACAATACCAGAGAGCATTATGATTTTTTTTTCATACATGTATTTTCCGGTTTATGTGTGGATTTTTCTTCAACCACCAGGGGGCTCTTTAGCAGGAAGAGTGTCCTGTAAACTGAGGGTGTTTTGTTTTGCATGGCGCATTGCTGCCATCTGTTGGACTTTTAGGGAACTGCTTGACTTTTATGTTATTTAATCAGTACGGTTGTTCTTTGAAGCAATGCCTGTAAGCATAGATATTATATAGAATTACTAGATGAATCATCCCCGCTG